CATAAAACCGACATCGTATTTGATTTGTTTTTTTTTTTTTTAAATATACGGCGTCGGTTTTAATAAAAAAATCGACGTTGTTTCTTAATTAAAAATATTTTTAGAAAATGTACGACGTCGCGGTTATTTCTTAATAACCGACGTCGTATGTTAATATTAAAAATTTTAAAAGTATATGACGTCAGTTTTTTTTAACCGTCGTATCTCTTTATTTTTTAGGTAATATTTGATCTAGGGGAGCTGAAGCCTGGGCCCTCCTAAAAGGAATCCAGCGGGCTCATGTGCAAAAATACAACAAGGTAATATTTGAAATTGATTCAAAGGATATCGTAGATCGAAGCATTCTGCAGTGGTAAGAAGTTCGACAATCTGGTCGACAACTTGATCTATGCATGCAAAAAGGAAATAAGGGGCTTAGAGGAGTGGAAGCTTGAATGCATTACGAGATAGAAAAATAGAGCAGCAGACTATCTCGCCCATAAAGCTGGCAGCATGGAAAGAGGCACGACTATCTTGCACTCTCCATGCGAAGAGTTAGCAGGAATCCTTGAGGAAGATATAGTAGGTGTCCCAGCGTGGCGCCAATTATAAATATAAACATACTCGGGTGATGCGTAGTATATTTGCAAACAAATAATTCTCGGAGTACGAGTTATCAATCCACAGGGAAGTGGTTGTATCAATCACTAGTTACTAACTTATTCATTAGAGCTAATCCTAACAATTACTTAGATGATTGATTGGCATAAAATAAATAAAATAAAACAGAGGTTCAGGATTTTGAAAACAATTAGAGAGAAGTTGAGATTCATGGGATTCAAGTATTTAATCACCTAGTGCCAATTATCGTTTGCAATATTTAGTTTGGAATTAAGATTTGTGTGGGAATGCAAAGTGGAATCGAATTACTCCCGTAATCTCTATTCCTAGTGAATTTCCACTCCCACGGCTTAAACACCCAATAAGATCAAAGATCAGCATTCAATTATTCCTAATTACTACCATCTCCCAATGAGCAATAATCTAAAATGAACTTCCCCTAATAAGTTTCTCTTTCCCAAGGACCAACCATTAGGTGCAATCGTGTGTGCCCTCATTTATGCCCCAACTCCCATTGGTGACACAAACATGGCTATGAAGCTAGTAACTATGGCCATTAATTACAAGCATCAAACAATATTATCACGATTGCAACACAAGTATTAAACCCAAATAATAATATATTAAAGAAACTGAGAGCTCAGGCACATAGGTTCATAAACACTTTTACCCAAGAATCTCTAAAGAATTTAGCCAAGCATGACTAAATTATACATAACAAATATAAATAAAGCATTACAAATCATCAAAAGAGTACAAGAATTAACCAGACGATTTTCCCAAATCTCCCTAGTCTTCTTCTTGCTTTCCAAGACAACTTGTGGCTCTTGATTTCTCTCCTTCTTGTCTCCAAGAATCTCTGAATTCTCTCGGTCCCCGTCCTCCCATTAGGGTTGAGGAAGGAGGGATTTTATAGTGGGTACAAAGTTGAGATGAAATAGGAATCTTGTACAAAATTGGACTCAAATTATAATTCCTAAAATAAAGAAATTGCCGTAATAAAATTGAAGTTGGAATTTGGACTTTGGAATTGAAGTTGATTGGGATTTGGAATTGAAGTGTGAAGTTGGAATTTTGAATCTGGAACGCTGCTGCAATTTCGGAAATTAACGTCGCTCGACGCGTCGAGACCTGCTGTCTCGACCGGAATGTGTACTGGAAATTTTCGACGTGTCGAGCCTTTGGCTCGACGCGTCGAATCCTCTGGGTCCCGAACTTATCTAAAATTGCTCCGAATTCATCCTTGAACTCCCCTTGCTCATATCTTTGACCTAAAATGGTTCAAAAACACTAACAAACACCGTAAAACATTCAAAACAAGTGTGAACCATAATTAAATGATAATAGCAAGGAAAATATGTATTAAATAAGCAAAATTAAAGAACTTAAATATTGAGATGATTCAAAATAACTATAAAAACAAGCACAGATGTGATAACATCACCGGGTATCCCCCTTCCAAGTGATCTAAAAAAAAGTTTATTAAGTTATTTCAGTTATTACTCAAAAATCGATAAAAATCAATAGTTGCACAATTATAATTTTTGGATCAATTTTTAAATGCTTAAATCAATTTAATTGTTTGATCTAGCCTCTAGGTGTTTGGTAATTAGTTTTTCTTTTTTAGCTATTTTTGGAGCAAAACAATAATTTTTGAAGATTTTGTTTTCAAAAAGCCCTTAAAATAGAAATTTTCAAAACAAAATCAATTGATTCCATGCCCACTTTGGTTGAATGCCCTCCAAGACAGATCATGTCAGATCACGAAAGCTTCTCTACACAAGTTTGTCTACACAGGGAGTAGCAACAGTCGAAATATTTTTCAAATCATCTGACAAATGGCGCAAAGGCTATTTTCTAGAGCTGCGGAACAAGTTGCAGATCAAGTTGACAAGCTTATCAAATCAACTACATGCAAGATGGACGATCAAGATTTGAAGTTGATCAACGGGCAAATAGCTTTTATTAGCTATATATACCCAAGAGACTTGAAGAACCAATAGCAGTCGAGAGCAAGAAAAGAAAATCCAAGAAAGCGAGCAGTACTTAATTAGAAAAATCTTCAAGTCTGAAAAAAAAATCTTTATTTCTTATTCTTGTAAGGGTAGAGTAACAAGGAGAGCTTGTGAAAACCCAGGGAGAGTGTAACTTTGTGCGTATCACTCGTGGTGTAGGAGTACAGCGTTGTGCGAAGTACTCGAGGGGATGCGGAGTAACAAGGGAAGCTTGTGAAAAATCTTGTAGGAGTGTAGCATTGTGCGTAGCACTCGGTAAGTGTCGACGGGCACTGATTCACTATTGTATCTGGGTGATCGAAGGATAGTGAATTCCGTCTTTGGAGTTGGTAGGATATATACCTCGTGTCCGTGTTCCCGTTTATAGTCAAGTCGGGGTCAGTCGGTTCGGATCTCAGTCTGCGAGTCGAGGTCTAAGGTGACGGGTTAGACCCGCCACCTTCCTGGACCTATAAAAGGGCTTATAGCCCTCCAAGTTAAGGGCTTTTTTCCCTTTCCACTCCCTCTCTACAAGGAACATCCTCTCTCAACCCTCTCTAGAAAAACACAAGACAACATGAATAAAATAAGCACATTTGCTCTATCTCTTCTCTATATATTGTTCGTACATTACATACATACAAGATACACTACGAGTACACCCGAGAATTAGTACTATCAGGAGTGAAAGGAGAAGAGTGGATTAGGAGGATTACACCACCTCCGAACCACTATAAATTTCTCTCTCTCTACTTTACTTTACTACTCATTTATTTGTGCATGCTTAGTACTATTGCGAACTAACCCGATTCAACTTATTGCATATCGTTAATCATTTGGCTTTGTTAGTTCCCACGTTTGCATGCAAGTCATATTTTATATACATCATATTTGAGCTATATCAAGTCATTCTAACATGCTGCATGTTTTGAATTCATCATTGAGCACCACACAATTGAGCATAACACTTTACCGTACATTTATTCCGCTGCACACTCTAAGTTAAATACTTGATTATTTACTTGTTACTTGGAGTTAAAATTACTAAAGTGTTATCAGTGTGCAAAAGTTAGAAAAGTCTATTCACCCCCCTCCCCCTCTAGACATTTCGCCACCCAACCGAGACCAACAAAAATTAAAAATGAGTTTTAATTGCGGTAGCTAGTTTGGAAGCACATACTACTACATACCCTAAAATGTTTTTTTTTTTGTTTTTTTTTTTTATTTTTATAAGTAATTGGTTATAAAGCGTTTGGAATAGCAATAGCTCTAAACACAAACACACCACCCTTACTACTGCATGTCATTTTCCCAAATTTTTCTATTATTTTAATAAAAAATAAATCATTGTTTATAATAATCACCTCATTGGGACAGGAATTTTCTTTATCTAGCATACATAGTTGAAAAACTAATTGATAATTGAAAAATAGTTGAAAGTAAAAAGAAAAACTAAAAGCTAAAAACTATCATACAAGATGGATGTGATTAGAAGTGTTTGGTAAACTTAAATGTTAAGCAAAATGATCAATATTAAAAAAAAAAAAAAACAAAAACAAAACAAAACAAAAAAAAAAACAAAAAAAAAACAAACAAACAAAGAAGTCATATTGACATGAAATATGTGGAGTATAGGTTTTATTTTTCAAATTTTTTAAATTTATAAGTATAATATATAATATTTATTTGAACAACAATCCAACTATTTTATACATAATACAAATCAAATAAGTTAAAAGGATGCAAATTCTGTTCTAACGGCCAAATCTTTGAGCTGCAACTTGTTTAATACAGTCTTAATATAGAGGAATACTCCCACCAGAAATTCTCAACCTCAATGGACCCAAATGAATACTACACATACTCACATACTCTCACTTTCTACTCCATAATTTTATACTCTGTACTGAGGCGTCACATTCTAATAGATCTAAAAACCTAGTGTCACATTCTTTCACTATTCTAATAGATCTAAAATTTGTACATGTAACGAAAATTATACTCCATGAAAGTACATATGTCATTTTCCATATGCTACACGGTACACACTTCACCTTTAATAAAATGTACATTATGGATATGCGATGCATCCATTAGGTGACCATATAACAAAAAATTTTGTGTCAATGAGGAAGCAAGAGGTTGGGAGAAACAATGATGGTAAATGCATTCTCTGAAAGAAATAATGAAAGGTCGCAATAACAAATCTCAGTATCTCATACACCAAATAAATCTTTTATGATAATTTTTTTTATTAAAAAAAAACATTGTTTTCTTTGTAGTACATACATTAGTGGCCGAAGTCATAAAATATACAAGCTTAGACATGTCAGAGGACACCTTAGCTTGCTCAAGTGAATTATTGTCATATCATAACAACTCCTCAAAACATAGCTTGATAAATAGACACCACTAGCAAATCATTTATATTATAGAAAAATTATTAAAAACACACTTTAATAATCATAAATAGGTTTAACAAAAACTCAAGATATATTTAGTTCACACCTTCACATCAAACCCAATAGATATACGAGTAGTACAAATATATTCAAAGTGTAAAAAAGTTAAATTAAACTTGATAGTTTTTGTTCAAAAATTTCAAAGTTGTTCGGATTTTTAACTTTGTAACCATAAGATTAAAAGTCGGTACGAATCCCATCTAGTGAGAGAGGCAGCCTTACCCGGAAGCACATGACGTCACCATTTCATATTCAACTTTGAGATTTGGACAGTTGTTGATCTTCAAAAACTCCAGCCTGCTTAAGATGTGATGTGGCACTGTCTTAAGTTTCCGGCATATATTTAGTTCCAACTCCTTGATGCATGGCATTATTATTATTGTTGTTGCTTCTTGTTTGAAGTCTTCCCACTCCTCCCACTCGTAACAATGGTAGAACTCCAATTTCTTCAGCTTTGGAAAAGCAACGCCACCTACTTGTGCTACTCCCAAAAACTCACTCCCTACATATCTTAGCTCTTTCATGCCCCATATGAAAAGAGTCTCCAGAGAAGGCAGTTTGCCTAATGGAGGCAAAGATGAACAATTTACGCACCATTTGATTTCAAGAATCCGTAGATTATCAAAGGAGGACAATGTAATCCAGGAAGGGAAGTGGGTTCCTCCGTACCAACTAAGTTTCAAGGTTTGCAGTTTGGGAGATGGTTTCAGAGCTTCCATCACATCTATTCCCACATTGACTACCGGAGAGTCCTTGATCTTCAAAGACTCCAGCCTAAATAAGGGATGATGTGACACTGCCTTAAGTTTTCGGCAACCAGATAGTTCCAACTCCCTGATGCATGGCATTATTATTATTGTTGCTTCTTCTTTGAAGTCTTCCCACTCCTCCCACTCGGGACAATTGTAGAACTGTAATTTCTTCAGCTTTGGAAAAGCAACACCACCTACTTCCGCTACTCCCAGAAACTCACTCCCAACATATCTTAGCTCATCCATGCCACTTATGAAAAGAGTCTCCAGAGAAGGCAGTTTGCCTAACGGAGGCAAAGAAGTTGAACAATTTTTGCACCCCCGAATTTCAAGAATCCGTAGATTATCAAGGGACAGTGTAATCCAGGAAGGGGAGTGGGGTCCTTTGTACCGATTAAGTTTCAAGGTTTGCAGTTCTGGAGGTGGTTTCAGAGCTTCCATCACATCTATTCCCACATCGACTCCCTCCCAGAAATGGAAACTCAATTCTATGATGCTCTTCTTGTTTCTCAATTTTGCTTTCTCTGCTTCCTCCACATCTGCTGCGCTATTCATATCGCATAAAAAGTGTATGGATAGCTTCCCTTTGAGTTGGTTCAGGTTCTCCATGTATCCCAACTTACTTGACTCTTTCCCCACCTTAAACACATTTAAACCACAAAGCTGAGTTAGCTTTGCGATACCTTGGGGCATCATCTCCAGCCTCTTGGTGCCTATGATGTTAAGGTCTCTCAAGTTTATCAAATTGCCAATCCCTTTGGGTAGTCTGGAAACACCTACACATTCTTTAAGATTCAAAGTTTCCAAGTTATACAAAGAGCAAATTGCATCAGGTAACTCATGCAATTGTCTACAATAACTTCAATTAATGTACCTTAACTCATGCAAATTTCCAATCCCTTTCGGCAGCCTATATAAAAACCAACATTTTCTAAGATCTAAAGTTTGCAAGTTATATAAAGAACAAACTGCATCCGGTAACTCCTCTACCGCGCTCCTACTTAAATCAATGTACCTTAGATGAAGCAACTTTCCTATCTTCTTTGGGAGTTTTTCCAACTCACAGCTATGCAATCCTAATACTCTCACGGATTTCAGACCATTGAACAAATCTGGAATATATTGTTCGGGAGAAAGGTTGTCAGCAAAAAAGCTGCCAAGTTTTCCAATATCACAAATGGAAGCGAGATTCTCATTCCAATCCGTGGTGTTTTGCCAGAACAGATGACGTATATTTTTAATCCCAACCTTATCCTCGTGCTCGTCAAAACTGTAGCATTGATTTTTGGTAAGAAACTGGGCAAAATCATGCACTATGTCATGCATTTTACAAGATATGATAATGTTGGAATCCTTGTGATCTTTCCTCAAATCTTGGAAGAAAGAGCGCATTGCTAAACCCCCAAATAACTCCCTGCCTTTTGATTTCATCGTCACGTAACCTTGTGCCATCCAAATTCTGATGAGCTTATCTACCTTTATTTCATAATCTTTGGGAAAGACAGCACAGTATGAGAAACATTGCTTCATCTTTGGGGTCAAATCAGCGTAGCTTAGATACAAATGAGGGAAGAGTTCTGTTACCACTTCATCCAACTCCCAAATTTTATTGTCTAAAACATTTTGCCAATCATCCCTAGTGTCTTTGAAACATAGCAGGCTTCCCATGACCCTAGCAGCAAGTGGCAATCCTTTGCACTTTTGAGCAATTTTCTGACCAATATCTTTCAGTTTCTCACAATCCTCTTCCCTTCTCCCGGAAAATGCTTTCTTGCTAAGCAACAACCAAGCTTCGGAGTCAGATATTAGATCCAACTGATGCACATACACACTTGCCATCATTTTAGCAACCCTTTCACTCCTAGAGGTCACCAAAATTCTACTCCCGGGGAGTCCATCCTTGAGAGAGTTCTTCAATGGCTCCCACATTGCATACTGCTCGGTCCACACATCATCCAACACAAGTAGAAACCTTTTCCCAGACAAAGTGCTTTGAATCTTTTCCAGTAACAGTTGGAGTTGGGACAGATCTGTGGAGCTTTTAGTGGTAAACTCAACAATGGCTTTTGCAATCTTGATCTGGTTAAAAGGGTGGGAAACACAAATACACACCCTTTCATCACCAAAATGGGTCTTGATCTGTTCATCCTCAAAGACTAGTAGAGCAAGGGTAGTTTTCCCTATCCCTCCCGGGCCCACTATGGAAATCACAGGGGGACCATTTCCATTTCTTGATTCGTCTTCTCCAGAATTCCCCACTAACTTGCTTATTAAAGCACTGGCATCGGATTCCCGACCTTGAATCTCTGACACATCCACATCAAACGTAGTGGTGACTCGTTTGGATTCTTGATCAGAGTGTGATGCAGCACACGTGTGTGTTATAGATGCATAATCAAATTTGAACTGATCTTTCTCTTTCGTAATCCGATCAAGTCTTGAATCCAGCTTCTTTATTTTCTTGGCGATGTCTCGATGCATAACAAACCTTTTGAATTGGATACACGAAGGCTGCAGGAAACTGCTTTCTGGACTCTCGAGCTGTTGTAGTCTCAGAGTTCTGGTTCTCCACTCGTCTAGAACATCGTCCACTTGGTAGGAGAAGTGTTGGATATCTTGGGTCCAGAGCTTGATGCCATTTTCCTTAAAGCTTCTCTTCTCTGCATCATCCAATACCACACAGATTTTCTCGAGCTTTGATGAGAGGTTTGTGATCTCCTTCTCCACACCCAAAGCTCTTTTTAGCTCCTGGGCTTGGTGCTTCAGGATGTTGATCAGATCTTTCACAACACTGGAGATCAGACCGTCGGCCATGGTTTGCTAATGGAACTACTCTGTGTCTCTGTGAGTATGGGACCTAAGAGAAGGAAATTAAATATTTGTTATTTGCATGCTTGATGGGATCGGAATGGGACAAACATTCCCAAGAATTAAAAAATAAAAGAATATCAGAGGTTTCTTACAGTGCACTGAACTGCACACTTTAAGTCTAAGATAAGAAAAGTAAGCCGGCATCAGAAAAATAATCTTTGCAATATTTTGGTATAATTTAGTCAATGAACAATACACAGAAAAATAAGATGAAAGATAAATGGTTTTAAAAAAATTTCATTTCATTTTTAGTCATAGATTTTTAGGTGGTCGTCAACTTTTAATTTTTTTTTTTTTTTAGAACTGTCCTTGTTTATTATTGTCTCATAATCATTTTTATTCTCGATCAACAAAATTATTTAAATTTCATTAAATTCTAGGGCATGTTATGATAAATTAAAAAAAAAAAAAAGTAAATTATCACCTCTCACCTATAAATTTAAGAGCAAAAATAGAATTCCCACATGCTATGTCGGGTCGGAGTGTGGGGCCTTTAGGGTTGGGGATTCAGCCTTTTGAGGTAAGAGCAAAATGGAATTAACTTTTTTAAAAAATTAGAAGTGGTTTACTTCATTTCTCTGTTTTTCCATTTCTCCAGTTTTCTGATTTTCCTTCAGTTTTTGATTTTTTGATTCTCTCTCTCTCTCTCTCTCTCTCTCTATATATATATATATATATATATATATATATATATTATTAAATAAATTACAATTATTTCAATCATTTTAGTACATAGTTTGATTACACAACAAAATACGCAAAATCTCATTAAATACAATCATCCATATAGCATTTATACAATAATAATAACAATAATAATAATAATAATAATAATAATAATAATAATAATAATAATAATAATAATAATTTGTGAAATATGTGCGCATCAAGGAAAAGGAAAATAGCTGTGGAAAGGCTGGACCTAACAACACAAATACTGTTCACCTGTGTTTTCTCTAATCTTCTATTTGGAGAAGTTGAATTTTGAGTTCTCCAAAAACATATACAAAGTTGGAGAATGAGGGTGAAATAAGCATTTTGAGGCATAAATTTAGTAAATAATTTTTTCAATTTTTATTTTTTCCACTTCTTAATTTCTCCATTTTTCTGAAAAAAAAATCCCTCATGCATAATTAATCTGGAGTACATTTCACTCTTCAAAGAACAGACATCCTTGTCTCATTAGGAGATGTTCCAAAAATACACATCAAATGATAATATTTCATGCATATACAAGTATAAGACAAATAAGTATTTTTAATGTGTGAAAATACTTTAAGAAAGTCACCAAAATATATATATATATATATATATATATATATATATATATATATATATATATATAAATTAAGTTCCAGCGCGGGTGAATGTTTCCCGTGCGGTTGTGCAGTTTTAATGTGCGTGAGTTTTGTACTTAAGGTGCGTGAGTCTTGTGCTTAAGGTGCGTGAGTCTTGTGCTTAAGTTGCGTGAGTTTTGTGCTTAAGGTGCGTGGGTGTGTACTTAATGTGAGTAGTGTTGAAACTTAAAGTGCATGAGTTTTGTGCTTAAGGTGCGTGAGGTTTGTACTTAAGGTACGTGAGTTTTGTGTTTAATGTGCGTGAGATTTGTGTTCTTAATGTGAGTAGTTGTTGAAACTTAAGGTGCATGACTTTTGTACTTAAAGTGCATGAGTTTTGTGCTTAAGGTGCGTGAGGTTTGTGCTTAAGGTGCGTGAGTTTTGTGCTTAAGGCGCGTCAATTTGTGTTCTGAAGGTGTTTTTTGTGTGCTTAATGTGCTTGTGTTGTGTACTTTAAGTGCGTCAGTGTAATGCTTAATGTGCGTCCACCCGCACAACTGCACAGGAAGCTTTCCCCGCACCTGATCCATTCCCTATAATAATAGAACTGTCTGAAAAGGTTTTTCCACCAAAACATAGGGGCATATTTGTCAAACTTTGTTAGTCTCCAATTTTTATTTCCAAAAAGTATTACAAAACTTTGACTCGTAATTATTTTACTTAAAATTATTGCTAATTGATCACGGTAAAACTCCATTGGTTACCCCAATTTAGTATCCAATTTTTATTTCCAAAATTTATTACGGTTAATTGATTACGGAAATATTATTTTGGAATAAAATATGATACGGTTAATTGATTACAGAAATATTATTTTGACAAAGAAAATATGTTGGCAATCCTCTCCATAATTACTTACCTATTGATTACAGAAATATTATTTTAGAATAAAATATGCTGTTAATCCTCTCCATAATTACTTACCTTAATAATAATAATAATAATAATAATAATAATAATAATAATAATAATAATAATAATAATAATAATAATAATAATAACAACAACAACAACAACAACAATAATAATAATAATTAAATTCTCTCCAATATGCTGGCAATCCTATTACGTTATTACGTTATCTACTATACTAATAAGATCCCAAGAGAGTTAGGCCTATAATGGGTAGAAAAAATAACTCTATAATTGGTAGAAAAAATGACGGTCAAATTTTTTAATCAAATGAATGACTCAGATTGATCGGATTTTAATTTTTCTTTAAGATTTCCTAATTTATCCTTAATGAATATGATTATCCGTTAACTCATCCCAATCAAAGTTGGCATAATTAGTACTCTATTTTACTCTTATTAAATGAAATATTAAATAATAATTTAGTAGCTACAATAAAAAATAATACATATGCATTTCTTTAATTTAGAATTATGTGTCTACAATGTTTTTATTCAAAAAAAAATTATTCATTATCAATAAATTAAATAAGAGAAATAATTTTATTAGTTATATTATATTTATTTTTCTCCAATATAAGAATTCTTTACATTCAAATTCATCAATTGATTATATTCGCTACATTGTCCCTACAATGTCTTTATTAAAAAAATTATTCATTATCAATAAATTAATTAAGAGAAATAATTTTATTAGTTATATTGTCTTTATATTTCTCCAATGTAAAAATTATTTACATTCAAATTCATAAATTGATTATATTCACTACATTGTCAATTATCTTTTTTTGTGCACTATTTTTTAATTAAATATCAAAGTTATAATACAAAATAATGCTATATATTTATTTACCAAGTATTTTATTAATACCATGAAAAAATTTTTAAAATATAATTAATAAAGTCAATCATATTAACTACTTGAGGGATTTGTTGACAAAGAGAATATTCAAATCACACAACAAATTGAAGTGAGAAATACCTTGCAATATCCTTGTTTGACAATCATCAGTTAGCGGTTAGCGTTAGTGGATTATATTAGCGAATTTGACTAGCGAATTTGACCAGCGAATTATATCAACGGTTGGTAAAAAGATATTTGAAAAAATTAGCTGTTTAGATTAACATGTAAAATGAAAAATTGCATATATAATAATAATAATAATAATAATAATAATAATAATAATAATAATAATAATAATTGTTTAAAAAAAATTAAGTCAATCATATTAACTACTTGGGGGATTTATTGACAAAAAAAAAAAAAAAATTCAAATCGCACAACAAATTGTAGTGAAAAACTATCTCGCAATGTCCTTGTTTGGCAATTAGCAGTTAGCTCTTCAATATTAGTATATATTTAATATTTTATGCCTTAAGTTTTATTTGCTCTCCCTTATGTCCCGTATTTGGTTTCAAACATACCTATACAATTATTTTATTGACAATTATAATCAATCTTTACTATATTATCTTACATTTGTAAACTTAGAATAGCATATTTAAATACGCAAATTTAACATTCAATTATCTATGCATGAACAATTCCAATATAATTTGACATTGATATACTTTAAAGTACTTATTAAAAAAAAAAAAAAAAGCATTGGGCATTATCTCAATCGCGTAATGCACGTAAAAAACTAGTTAATATCATAATAAGCTAATAATCAACGCCTTAATTACTTACCTTAATAATAATAATAATAATAATAATAATAATAATAATAATAATAATAATAATATGTCAAGCACATTGTGCTCAGATGATATCTCTATGACTCCCTTTGAGGGAAGGTCACAGGATTGAACCCACTAATACTTAGCTAAAGTATAGAAAAGATACTATCTTGTAATAGAGTATATAATAATAATGCTATTACCTTATTTAAATTATTACAGTACGGGCAATAACAACAACCTTAGAATCTGTTCTAGAAGATATGGGTGTATTATTTATTCTGTTAAATGTTTAATTTACTTTTTTTTTCCAAATATTGTATTTTTAAAATTTTGAATGCTATTTTACATCATTCATGAAATTATACAATCATTGATAATAATGATTACAGTCAAATAATAAATTTGTAATGGTATTTTCAATTCAGTAAATGCATTCTTACATTATCATGCAACAGTAACAAAATTTGTAAAGGTATTATTTAGAATTATTTAGTGTTCAATGATTAATTTAATTTTTTTTCATTTATTGTATTTTAAACATTTTTAATCGTATTTTACATTGAGTACATGCATTCAAGAAATTATAAAATCATTATTTGACTGTAATGATTATGGTCAAATAATAAATTTATAATCAATCTTTTCATCAGTATATGCATTCATTCAAACATTATCCCAGTATATATACAAAATCATGCTTATTTTTAAAATTTTTATAAATAACTTTTGTGTTATAAATAATCATGTAATAAATAACTTCTGTGTTATTCCATTCCTAAATTACTGTAATTTAGAAATGAAAGATTGGAGTTATATGTATTTGATTTTTTTTATCGTAATCAATATTATTGTAATTTATTCCATTTTTAAAATTTTTAATGGGCTCAGTGTAACAATATGCTTATTTTTAAAAATTTTAATGGTATTTTGCATCATTCACGAAATTATACAATCATTAATAATAATGATTACGGTCAACTAATAAATTTGTAATAGTATTTTGCATCGAGTATATAAATTCTTACACTATCATGCTCAATTTTTTTACCCGTGATTTAAAAAATTTGTAATGGTATTTTCAATCTAGTACATGCATGCATTCTTACATTATCATGCTCAATTTTTTTACTCGTGATTTAAAAAATTTGTAATGATATTTTCAATCTAGTACATGCATTCTTACATTATCATGCTCAATTTTTTTACCCTAACAGTAAAAAAAATTGTAAAGGTATTATTTAGAATTATTTAGTGTTCAATGACTAATTTAATTTTTTCCTTTTATTGTATTTTAAATATTTTTAATCGTATTTTACATTGAGTACATGCATTCAAGAAATTATAAAATCATTATTTGATTATAATGATTACGGTCAAATAATAAATTTGTAATCAATATTTTCATCCGGTATATGCATTCATTCAAACATTATCCCAGTACATGCATGATGTACATAATCATGATTATTTTTAAATTTTTTATAAATAACTTTTATGTTATAAATAATCATTTAATAAATAACTTCGGTGTTATTCCATTCCTAAATTACTGTAATTTAGGAATGGAAGATTGGAGTTATATGTGTTTGATTTTTAAAATTTTTTTTTATTACCGTAATCAATATTATGTAATTTATTTCATTTTTAAAAATTTTAATGGGCTCAGTGTAACAATATGCTTATTTTTAAAATTTTTAGCGGTATTTTGCACCATTCACGAAATTATACAATCATTGATAATAATGATTACAGTCAACTAATAAATTTGTAATGGTATTTTGCATCGAGTACATACATTCTTACACTATTATGCTCAGTTTTTTACCTGCGATTTAAAAATTTGTAATAGTATTTTCAAGCCAGTACATGCATTCTTACATTATCATGCTCAATTTTTTTATTCAATAGTAAAAAAATTTGTAAAGATATTATTTAGAATTATTTAGTGTTTAATGATTAATTTAATTTTTTTTATTTATTGTACTTTTAAC